TGCGAGTCGGCAGGACACGATCTCTGAACCGGAGGGTTTACCACCTAAACGGCGTACCATTGCAGGAGGTAGACGCCCAGAAAGACTTGGGGGTGTGGGTAACGGCTTCTCTAAAACCGTCGCTTCACTGCTCCAAGGTAGCCAAGTCTGCGATGTCAGTCCTTTATCTTGTCAAGAGAGCTTTCTCTACCTTCGATGAGGACTGCTTCGTTAAAGTCTTTCGGACTTTCGTACGGCCACAGCTAGAGTTCGCCATTCAGGCGTGGAAACCGTGGACCTCTAAAGATCTCAGCATCCTCGAGAAAGTTCAGAGGCGGGCAACCAAACTCGTAGGTGGACAGGGTTCACTACCCTATGAAACCCGATTGTCCAATCTCGGTCTCTTTCCACTGAGTTACAGACAGCTAAGAGGCGACCTTATACAAACATTCCGTATACTGCGCGGCCAGGACTGCTGTCTCGTACCTACTGATTTCTTTGAGTTAGCGACCACAACGAACCTCCGAGGTCATCCACTTAAATTTCGAGTAACTGGCGCCAAGCTGGACACTCGGAAGTTCTTCTTTTCAAACAGAGTGATCGAGGCCTGGAATGCTCTGCCTGCAGGTGTCGTCATGTCCACCTCCGTCGAGGCTTTTAAGCGCAACTTGGACCAGATTGCCACCAATCGTCACAATGCCACCTGACAGATTGTCTAGCATTTCGTTCGAACAGTTTAGTAATTTTGTTATACTACTTCCTATATTTCAGTAACGTTTGTTTTTTTAATATTGTCCCATGTCTGTTGAATGTGTGTTGGCATTCAATTCGTCTCCCTCCGAAACTGAGATAGCACCAACTATCCCTAGACAGACTACTGTACAGCACATTTAGTAACGTTAATGTTTTTAACTTTTGGCTTACAAAACGTTGCCAATCTGAAGAAACTCTGTAGCCGTTTGATGTTTCAATTTTCAAATTTTTTTTTTTAATTGTTCGCCTCCTTGTAACAAATAGGGAGTTCAAAGGTTTAACACCTATATTTCCCTCAAATAAACTGAACTGAACTGAACTGAACGAAAGCTAAAAAACTCAAAAAGCGTTGACAATTCATGTTGGCAAACTAGCCCCTATTATAATTTGAAACGAATCGTGCTAAACATTCCCTGCGGCCTCACCGCCTCATTTTCTAGTCCACACTGTAGGGAAGTCGTCTGTGTTCGATCTTGGGGAATCTCAACCCAATAATAAGTCTATTGCCTCTCACCCTTGCTCCACCTAACAGCATCCCAAAGAAAACTGAAGCAAGTGCTTAAATTTGATGCAAGTCCGAGTGCGGTTTCCGCGCTTAAACACTGAGGAATTCCGGTCGTTGTTGGGAATCTTTCTTTCATTACCGCCCGCCACAACTTTTAACATCACCCTTTCCAAACGAGACGCATTTTCACCCATATTTCAGATCTTATATCAGGGTTGCTATACTCAATATGTCAATATCGGCGTTTAGGAATGGCCTCCCCGCCCCAACTGAAGCAGTGCTTCCCTCGTCCTCCGGTGAATTACCTCTACAGTTGAATTCCCTGTAGAATCTCTTACACTATGCTTACCTCGCCGAAGGCAGTCTGCCAATATGTCCGATTAGAGAGCGCGTTCAGCATCACCAAACACTAACTTGTTTTCTCCACAGCAGTTCTACCAATGTATTCCTTATGCTAATGTCTATACTGGATCAGTTAACTCGTCCAATCCTCATTTTCGTTCCGGCGGGAATGTGTTGCGGTATCTGCCCCGCGGATTTGCAGCTGAAAATAAGTTAGCTAACAATGTTTACCAGTTCACCTGCCCGTCATTCCCTCCCCCAAGTCCTACCCCTTCTTATCCAGGTCAGAATTTTTCGATGCCACAAAATTTTTTGCAGAACCGGATGGTTGCATCAGGACCGGTTACTCCGTGGGCAGCCCAGAACTGGACGATGTAGCCCACCTCCCTCAGAAACAAACAGCTTTTCCCTTCAAACCTTTTGTTTTAAATACCAGATCCTTTCCAAATAAGATGCCTTTGCTTTAGACACTGGTGTTTGTACATCGCCCAGATATTGTTTTAGTAACGAAGACATGGGCATCAGCCTCCGTGGCTGACTCTGAACTCTCTCTTCTAGGCTATAATTTCATTCGAAATGATCGTCAAGAAAGCCGTGGGGCGGGCAGATGCGTCTACGTTAAGCAAACACTTACATTTTTGCCACTTGACCTCCCGCATTTTTCCGCAGTAGGAGGCAGCTGCTGGCTCCAGATTGCAATAAGAAATAAGTTCTCCTTACCCATTGGCTGCGTCTATCGCCCTCCCAACGCCAACGAAAATTTTGATTGTTTACTCTCACAGGTATTTCATGCTGCGTTCGACTTAAGCTTTAAGTATCAATTGGTTGCTGATGACTTTAATAATAATAATAATTATTATTAT